TATACACGTGGGGCGTTTATATTCAGGACCACCCAATGCCTACTGGCATTCTGAAGGACCCGCAGTGCGCAAGAAGAGTACTCAGGAGTGAAATCAGAAGAAAACATCAAGAAGAGGAACAGCAAACATACAACATGGAAGCACAAGGGCGCTAACAAAACACAAAAGCGAGGGGCGGCGAGGGCTAAACAGAACATCGGTTTAACTCAGCAACGCGCTGCGCTGAAGAGGCAAATGCATGAGGTGCATAACGGGGGCGGAGACTCACCCAAACGTGGAGACAAAAGGGCGCGGCAGCAAACCCAAAGGAAAGAACCCACAAGTGGAAGAAAAGGTCGCGGCCTCGAGGATAAGCAGGAGCACCCAGAAGTGGACGCAGGAGGGCGCGGTAAAAAAAAGTACCCATTAAGTGGGTACAAAAGAGCACGGCAGCGAAAGCAACGAGACCTCCCCAAGAAGTGGAGACAAAAATGGCGCAGCACCATCAGTAAGATAAAGCACCCAAAAGTGGAGACAAAAGGGCGCGGCAGCGAAAGCAATGATAAAGTGCCGAAACGTGGAGACAAAAGGGCACGACAGCGCAGGCAACCAGAAGCACACAAAAGTGCACACAAACGGGTGCGGCAGCGAACGTGTCCAGACTCACCTAAAAGTGGAGACAACATGGCGCGGCAGCGAAAAGCAAAGAAAAGCATCCAGAAGTGGAGACAAAAGGGCGCGGCAGCGAGAAGCAGTAGACGCACCCAAAAGTGGAGATACAAGGGCGCGGCAGCGACAGCAATGATAAGGCCCCGAAAGGAGGAGACAAAAGGGCGCGGCAGCGACGGCAACCTGAAGCACCCACAAGTGGAGACAAAAGCGCGCGGCAACGAGAGTGTCCAGCCTCATCGTCGTCGTCCTCGTCGTCGTCGTCGTCCTCGTCGTCCTCGTCGTCGTCGTCGTCGTCGTCGGCGTCGTCGTCGTCGTCGTCGTCGTCGTCACCGCTGTCCCTGCCTCCTCCTCCTCCTCCTCCTCCTTCTCCTCCTCCTCCTCCTCTTCCTCTTCTTCCTCCTCCTCCTCCTCCTCCTCCTCCTCCCCCTCCTCCCACCTCCTCCTCCCTCCCCCTCTTCTGCCCCTTGCAGGTGTGGAAGCCGCCCAGGGGACCTCCTCCTGGCTTCACGCCCACCTCCAGGGCGCACGCTCGCCTACTGCGCGAATGCCCGCCTCCGAGGCGAACGCTGGCGCCCAAGAGGCAACCGAAAGCCCCCAAGAGGGCCTAAGACGACCCCAACGAGCCCCATGGGGAGCTGTTTCCAAGAGGCCTCCAAGCCGCCAACCACGAGATCCCCACGAGCACTCCAGTGGCCTCTGGCACCCGCTGGGCCTCCCAGGAGCCCACGAAAGTGGCGACAGATGCGCAGCGCAGATCGCAAGCCCCCTAGGGGGCGGCGAGGTACCGAGGTGATCCCGCGTGGGACGTACCTCCGCTGGGCCTCCCAGCAGCCCACGAAAGTGGCGACAATTGCGCAGATCGCAAGCCCCCCAGGGGGCGGCGAGGTACCGAGGTGATCCGCGTGGGACGTACCTCCGCTGGGCCTCCCAGCAGCCCACGAAAGTGGCGACGGTTGCGCAAACGCAAGCCCCCCAGGGGGCGGCGAGGTACCGAGGTGATCCGCGTGGGACGTACCTCCGCTGGGCCTCCCAGGAGCCCACGAAAGTGGCGACGGTTGCGCAGATCGCAAGCCCCCCAGGGGGCGGCGAGGTACCGAGGTGATCCGCGTGGGACGTACCTCCGCTGGGCCTCCCAGGAGCCCACGACAGTGGCGACGGTTGCGCAGATCGCAAGCCCCCCAGGGGGCGGCGAGGTACAGAGGTGATCCGCGTGGGACGTACCTCCGCTGGGCCTTCCAGCAGCCCACGAAAGTGGCGACGGTTGCGCAGATCGCAAGCCCCCCAGGGGGCGGCGAGGTACCGAGGTGATCCGCGTGGGACGTACCTCCGCTGGGCCTTCCAGCAGCCCACGAAAGTTGCGACAGTTGCGCAGATCGCAAGCCCCCCAGGGGGCAGCGAGGTACCGAGGTGACCCGCGTGGGACGTACCTCCGCTGGGCCTCCCAGCAGCCCACGAAAATGGCGACAATTGCGCAGATCGCAAGCCCCCGAGGGGGAGGCGAGGTACCGAGGTGATCCGCGTGGGACGTACCTCCGCTGGGCCTCCCAGGAGCCCACGAAAGTGGCGACAGTTGCGCAGATCGCAAGCCCCCCAGGGGGCAGCGAGGTACCGAGGTGATCCGCGTGGGACGTACCTCCGCTGGGCCTCCAAGCAGCCCACGAAAGTGGCGACAATTGCGCAGATCGCAAGCCCCCCAGGGGGTCGCGAGGTACCGAGGTGATCCGCGTGGGACGTACCTCCGCTGGGCCTCCCAGGAGCCCACGAAAGTGGCGACAGTTGCGCAGATCGCAAGCCCCCCAGGGGGCGGCGAGGTACCGAGGTGATCCGCGTGGGACGTATCTCCGCTGGGCCACCCAGGAGCCCACGAAAGTGGCGACAGTTGCGCAGATCGCAGACGGCACGAGAGAAGAGGAGAAGGGAACACGGGAGACAGGAGAGAAGGAGGAGACGAGGAGGAGAGGAGGAGGAGGTGACACTGCTCTATTCAAAGCGAGTGCCCAACACCACAGGAGGGTTGGGACAAATCATGACGTCGGGGGTCTGGGCTCATCGCATCCTCGAACCCGAGCCCTCGGCACCTGCCATGCCGCCGCTCGACCCTGCCTGCTCCACAGACCGTGGCCGAAAGCTGGGGGCACCGCTGCGCCAGACTCCCGCCGACGCCCCCCCCCCGGCCAGGGGAACGACGGCCCCGAGCGCCGCTCGCGGCGTGCGGCGCATCTGCTCGACCCGGGGCGCACCGACCCGGATCAGTGCAAGCCCGGGCCAGTCAGGCCTGGCAGGATCCTGCAGGGCTCCTGCAGGACCCTGCGCGCAAGCCTAGGGGGGGGAGGGACCATGAGGAATTGGAGGAAGGAGGGTGAGAGAGGAGGAGGAAGAAGGGAGGAGGAGGAGGAGGAGGAGGAGGAGGAGGAGGAGGACCAGTGGAAACCCAAGAGTCATCAACGATGTTGGAATTAACCCTCCCTCCAAGCTCCCTCTTCATGGGCCCCTACAACGGTTCATGCCCATTGAGGGGACTGCCTCGTTGGAAGACAACCGTTTGAAGATCCTGAAGCGTGCCAAAACATTGTTCTCGGGACTTCAACGCCACGTATCAACCTGACTGCTGCGTCTTGACGATCCAAAAACCGTGCCAGAACGCCATTTGTGGGATTTCAACACAGCGAATCCACAAAACTGTTGCACCCGCATTCTCCAGAATCCTTCCGAAAAACCGTTTCTGGTACGCTGATCATGGGAATCCCTGGAACTATTGCAAATGCGCGGCGCTAAAGCGAGAACCTCATTTTGAAAAAGTGCCCGCCCTCAATTCGCGAATTTCTTGCAGACGTTTAAAGCGAATGTGCGCGGCGCTCGGGCGAGGGCCACATCTTGAAAACCACCCGCCCTCCATCCGTGGAGCTCCTGCAATGTTTGAAAGTGCGCGCAGCTCTAAGGCGAGACCCACATGTTGAAAACCACCCGCCCTCGATCCGTGAAGCTCTCGCAACTGTTTCAAACAATGCGCGCGGCGCTAAGGTGAGAGCCACATTCTGAAAACCACCCGCCCTCAATCCGTGGAGCTCTTGCAAATTTGAAAAACTAACGTGCGCAGCGCTAAAGCGAGAGCTACATGTTTTAAACCACCCGCCCTCAATCCGTGAAGCTCTTGCAACTTGTTGAACGAATGTGCGCGGCGCTAAGGCGAGAGCCACATTTTGAAAACCACCCGCGCTCCATCTGCGAAGCTGCTGTCACTTTTTAAGCTTCATAAATGGTGGGGAAATCTCAAGCGAAACGCCCGGCCCGCCCTAAAAACTGGCATCGGGGTGCGACAGGGGAGAGTTATCTATCAGGAGAAAGAATGGAGGAGGAGGAGGAGGAGGAGGAGGAGGAGGAGCAGGAGGAGGAGGAGGAGGAGAACCCTGGCTCTGCAGGATCCTGCAAAAGATCCGGCGCTCTGGCTCTCGGGCGCGTGGCCATGGGGGGGGATCTCACGGGGGGGAGGCAAGGCCTCTTTATTAGGCTCTTTTCTTCACCCCCCTTGAAGGTCCCCCCCCCACCCCTGAGATCTGATGTCTCGGAAAAATGGGAAACAGAATGACAAACCACGACTGGAGCCCTGGACCCCATCTATCTGCGTGAGGGATCGATCCTGGAGCCCCGGACACGACTGGAGCCCCCGGATCGATCTGTGCGGGCCCTGGGGCCCCGAAAAAAAAGCGACAACGCCCGGCTCGAAAAAATGGGCCGCCAGGATCCCAGGGCAGGTCACCCCCTCCTCCTCCTCCTCATCCTCCTCCTCCTCCTCCTCCTCCTCCTTCTCTTCCTCCTCGTCTGCCTTTTCCTCCACCTCCTCCTCTTCCTCCTCCTCCTCGTCCTCCTCCTCCTCCTCCCCCTCCTCCTCCTCCTCTCCTCCTCCCTCCTCCCTCCTCCTCCTCCTCCTCCTCCTCCTCCTCCTCCTCCTCCTCCTCCTCCTCCTCCTCTCCTCCTCCTCCCCCTCCTCCTGCTCCTCTCCTCTTCCTCCTCCTCCTCCTCCTCCTCTCTTCCTCCTCCCTCCTTCTCCTCCTCCTCCTCCTCCGCCCGCCCGAGCAACTGCTCGAGACTGGAGCCCCGGACACGACTGGAGGAGGAGGAGGAGGAGGAGGAGGAGGGGAGGAGGAGGAGGGAGGAGAGGAGGAGGAGGAGGAGGAGGAGGAGGAGGAGGAGAGGAGGAGGGGAGGGAGGAGGGAGGAGGACAGAGGAGAGGAGGAGAGGAGGAGAAGGAAGAGGAGAGGAGGAGGAGGAGGCGGAGGAGGAGGAGGAGGAGAAGGAAGAGGAAAAGGAGGAGGAGGAGGAGGAGGTTGAGGGAGAGAGGGAGGTGGAGAGGGAGGATGAGGGGGAGACGGAGGAGCTCTCAGTGCCGCCCGCTCGAGCATCTGCTCGAGACTCACGCGGCGCCGCCAGCCTCTGCCACCGCGCCACGCGCCGCCGCGTCCGCCGCCGCGCCCAAATAGGGGGTGGCCGCGGCCGCCGGCGCCCCGCACCGCGCGGCCCGCGGCGGCTCTTTGCGCAAGTACCGGCACGCGTGGCAGCGGCTGCAGGACGCGCCGTCCTGAGGCTCGGCGGCGACAAGGGGGAGGAGGAGGAGGAGGAGGACCAGTGTAAACCCAAGAGACACCAACGATGCTGGAATTACCCCTCCCTCCAAGCTGACTCCTCCATAGGCCCCTACAACGTTTCATTTCCATTGAGGGAACTGCCTCGTTGGCAGACAACCGTGTGAAGATCCTGAAGCATGCCGAAACATTGTTCTCGGGATTTCAACGCCAGGTATCAACCTGACTGCTGCGTCTTGACGGTCCATAGTCGTGCCATAACCCCTTTTTTGGGATATCACCACCACGAATCGACATAACTGTTGCACTCGCATAATCTTGAATCCTTCCACAACACCATGTCTGGTACGCTGATCATGGGAATCCTTGGAACTCTTGCAAATTCTTAAAACGAATGCGCGCGGCGCTAAGGCGAGAACCTCATTTAAAAAAAGAGCCGCCTTCAATCCGTGAAGCTCTTGCAAATATTGAGAACGAATGTGCGCGGCGCTAGGGCGAAGCCACATTCTGAAAACGACCCGCCCTCAATCCGTGGAGCTCTTGCAAATCTTAGAAACTAATGTGCGCAGCGCTAAAGCGAGAGCTACATGTTTTAAACCACCCGCCCTCAATCCGTGAAGCTCTTGCACACTTGTTAAACTAAACGAATGTGCGCGGCGCTAAGGCGAAAGCCACATTTTGAAAACCATCCGCCCTCAATCCGTGAAGCTCTTGCAAATGTTTAAAGCGAGTGTGCGCAGCGCTAAGGCGAGAGCCACAGTTTGAAAACCACCCGCCCTGAATCAGTGAAGCTCTTGCAAATGCTTAAAACGAATGTGCGCGGCGCTAAGGCGAGGGCCGCATTTTGAAAACCACTCGCCCTCCATCTGTGAAGCTGTTGTCACTGTTTAAGCTTCAGTGTCATACATGGGGAAGAAGTCGCAGGCGAAACGCCCGGCCCGCTCTAAAAACTGACCTCGGGGTGCGACAGGGAGAACTTATCTTGTTACCAGGAGAAGAAATGGAAGATGATGAGGAGGAGGAGCACGAGGAGGAGAAGGCGCACGAGGAGCGAGGAGGAGGAGGAGGAGAAGGAGGGGCGATGATGATGATGATGAAAATGATGATGATGAGGAGGAGGAGGAGGAGCAGGAAAAGAAAGAGGCAGAGGAGGAGGAGGAGGAGGAGGAGGAGGAGGATGGGGATGAGAGAAGGGAGGAGGGGGGTACAGTCGGACCTAGGCCAGAAGAACATCCCTCAAGAACATGATGCCCTCCGCCGGGCAAGACACACAGAACGTCCAAGGGTTCCCCCCAGGACGCACAAGAGCTCCAAACAAGCACGAAGAAGACTGGGGCACCCTCTCCGAACCGACCTCGATCTTAGACTTCGGTCCGACTGTAGGGGGTAGGGGAACAAAAGGCTTCTTAGAAGGAAACCGCTTCTTAGAAGGCGACGGTCCTACGTCTATACAGACGAAGCCCGCGCTCTGCAGCAACCAGAATGGTTCTGAGAAACCCTCCCCCCTCCCCCTGCCCCCCTTCCGCGAGTGGCGGAGTCCTTGCAGCCCCGGGGCTTGTGGAAGTACTTGCACCCCCCGGCGCAGCCGTGTGGGTGATTGACCTGCGCCACGGGAACATATGCACTAGCGCCCTCCGATGAATTTTGCATGCTGCATGCACCTTCAGGAAGGGCGGCGGCGTATAAAGTCGTTGGCGCCCAATGGCGACTCGTACGCCGCCGCCCTCCCCTGATGCTCAGGAAAAATCCATCAGTGGGTGTCTGTGTACAGTCAACCCGTACAATACGGACGAACGATTAGGATGCAAGGGCTTTGGAAGGCCATGTCGACAATTTGCGAGCGGGGCGCGGCCAGCAAAAGTTGCCAGGGATGGGCCGAAGGGGAAGGATGCCAGAGCAATCCTGGAAGGTCGCCAATCATCCTAACTATGCGGGTCGACTGTCTGTTGGTAGCGGATGACCGAGCCCAGCGACATTTTCTCCAGCTCCTCGTGGCACGAGTCGAGTGGGGGTCAACTACAGAACTGTTGTACCCCAAGGTTGAATTTCCGCCGGATCCACGCCAAATGCTGAGAACGCTGATGCGTGTATATACACTTGTACATATATATACACATATACATATACATATACATGTTCATACACACATTGAGCAGTAGACGTAATTCTGGATTCGTAGATCCGACGAACATGTGGAATGCACTGTCGTCTGTAGTAGCTGTATGGAATACAAAGAGACACCATGTGCAAATGGGGGACCCGTGCTGAGAGAAAGAAAGAGAGAGAGAGAGAGAGAGAGAGAGAGAAAAACAAAAAAAACACGTTCTCTTTCCTTGTCCGGGGGCTCGCGCGCGCCCGCTGCTGGCGCGACACGCAGCTCAAGGGCCCTGCGATCCGAGACGGCCGCTGGGCAAGGGAGGCGAGAACGACGCGCAGGAGGAGGGGAGGCTGAAATGGGAGCAGCAATCGCAAAACAACATGACTTCTGGGGCTTAGTGGGCTTTGGAAACGACAGGGCCGTTTTTTCTACCGGTTCCGTTTTGCCTTTTTCTTGCCGGTTCCGACGCCGTTTTTTTACCGGTTCCGTCGCCGTTTTTTGACCGGTTCCGGCTCCAGCACCAATCCTGGAGCCGTTTTTTTGCCGTTTCTGGTCGCCGTTTTTTTGCGGTTTCCATTTTCAAGGGACACTTTCTCGGAAACGGTGAAAAAACGGCCCTGCCGTTTCCGGGGCGCACTAAGTTGGGGCAACTCGAGCCTGCAGTCGACCCCCGCACTCGAGGGAAGGAAGGGGCGGGGCCCCGAGGGAGGCGAGCGCGGGCCCCCCGGGGGCTCCCGCTCGGGACGCGGCGCCTCGTCCCGGGCCGCCGCGCGGACGGCCCCCGAGGCCCTTGACGAGCCCGAGGCTCATGCTGCCCCCATCGTGCTCATGGGCCAGAAGACAAGCGACACCACCCCACCTGCGGCTCCACGGGGCTTGGCGTCTGCCAGGAAGTCTGGCGCGGGCTTCTGCGCGGTGTGCGCTGCGGCCCCCGGTGGGCCGCAGCGCAGCATGGAGGGCCGCAGGTGTGGTGGTGTCGTTTGTTGTTGGGCTATGTGGTTCCCATCGTACTTAAGGACGACATCCCAAAAATAATTTCGAGCACCTGGAAAAGTATCGAAAGAGTGTCGAAACAGTGTCTCCCAGGGCCCGACACGTGAAAACCCTCGAGTTTCGGTAGTTGTTTCTGGTTCTCGAAATTCTTTCTGGTGATCACAAGGCTAAAGTAGGTTGGAACAGCATAATTGCTGGGTCGAACTTAAGGACCACAGCCCAGAAATAATCTCGAGCACCCAGAGAAGTATTCGAAGCGGTGTCGAGCGGGTATCGCCTCCCAGAGGGCCTGGCACGTGCAAACACCCTCCAGCTTCGGCCCTGCCCTGGAGACTCTTTCTGGCGGTCAGGGCTACGGTAGGCTGGAACATCAGAAAAGGAGACAAGCACTTGTGAGCGGCAGCCAAGAACGAGCCTGACGCGAGATGACACAGCGACCTCACTCCGCAGCTGACGCGGGCCGCTGGCGCGGCACGCCCCTCACACCAGAGAGACGAGGGCGCTCACGCGCGCAACGTTATACGCGGGCAGCTGACGCGCCAATGCCGGCCCAGTCGACCCCGAATATGCCACGTCGCCCGCTTGTGGTGTCCATAGCCCGGCTAGCGGTCCGGCGGAGCGCCAGAGTGGCACTCCCACACCCCCTTCGAGGGAGCTCTGGAAGCTCCTGGAAGGATCTTCGGCAGGAGCTTCGGAAGGAGCTTCAGAGCACACGTTTTTGAGATCCGACGCTCCGAAAAAAACGGAGCCGGCGGTTTTTACCTGTTTTCGGCATCTGGGGGCCCTCGCTGGGCTTTGGGAGCCTCAAAAAACGACAGGACGAAAAACGGGCCCTGGAGAAGTGGTCCGGACCTCCGGGGCCCACGCATCGACAAAATTGGAGCAGCTGGATGTCTGGGTCTGGGGGAACAGTCAGAGAAGGCCTGCCAGAACACGCTGCGAGTTCAAGCAAGCCGCAGCGGCGCCCCCTGCCGGAAGCCAGAACGAGCTCCGGGGGTACCCTGTGATGCCGACTAATACATCTTGTGACGAACCAAGAACCCACACCCATACCCATAGGGGGGTCGGAGAGGGCTGTGGGTGCGTGTTGCCGGATGGTGGTCCCCGCTCGAAGAGCGTTCCCAAGGGTCCGACAAGCCGAACCCATACCCATAGCCAATCCTCCTCCCAACGACCCCGCTATGTGTGTGTGTGCGTGTGTGTGTGTGTTTGTGTGTGTGTCTGTCTGTGTCTGTGTCTGTGTCTGTGTCTGTGTCTGTGTCTATGTGTGTCTGTGTCTGTGTGTCTGTGTGTCTGTGTGTCTGTGTGTCTGTGTGTCTGTGTGTCTGTGTGTCTGTGTGCCTGTGTGTCTGTGTGTCTGTGTGTCTGTGTGTCTGTGTGTCTGTGTGTCTGTGTGTCTGTGTGTCTGTGTGTCTGTGTGTCTGTGTGTCTGTGTGTCTGTGTGTCTGTGTGTCTGTGTCTGTATGTCTGTGTGTCTGTGTGTCTGTCTGTGTCTGTGTCTGTGCCTGTGCCTGTGTCTGTGTCTGTGCCTGTGCCTGTGCCTGTGCCTGTGCCTGTGCCTGTGCCTGTGTCTGTGTCTGTGTGTCTGTGTGTCTGTGTGTCTGTGTGTCTGTGTGTCTGTGTGTCTGTGTGTCTGTGTGTCTGTGTGCCTGTGTGTGTGCTGTGTGTCTGTGGTCGTCTGTGTGTCTGTGTGTCTGTGTCTGTGTGTCTGTGTGTCTGTATGTCTGTGTGTCTGTGTCTGCGTGTCTGTGTGTCTGTCTGTGTCTGTGTGTGCCTGTGCCTGTGCCTGTGCCTGTGCCTGTGCCTGCCTGTACTTGTGCCTGTGTGCCTGTGTGTCTGTGTGTCTGTGTGTCTGTGTGTCTGTGTGTCTGTGTGTCTGTGTGTCTGTGTGTCTGTGTGCCTGTGTGCCTGTGTGTCTGTGTGTCTGTGTGTCTGTGTGTCTGTGTCTGTGTCTGTGTGTCTGTGTGTCTGTGTGTCTGTGTGTCTGTGTGTCTGTGTGTCTGTGTGTCTGTGTGCTTGTGTGTCTGTGTGTCTGTGTGTCTGTATGTCTGTGTGTCTGTGTGTCTGCGTGTCTGTGTGTCTGTGTGTCTGTGCCTGTGCCTGTGCCTGTGCCTGTGCCTGTGCCTGTGCATGTGCCTCTGCCTCTGCCTTTGCTTGTGCCTGTGCCTGTGCTTGTGCCTGTGCCTGTGTTTGTGTGTCTGTGGGTCTGTGTGTCTGTGTGTCTGTGTGTCTGTGTGTCTGTGTGTCTGTGTGTCTGTGTCTGTGTGTGTGCGTGCATGTGTGTTGCTCGCATGTCGTTTTGAGAGGCATGCGCGGATGCCTTGGATCGGCGCTGGACTCCCATTCTCGACGCGTGGAGCGCGCCACGGAGTTTCCAGCGCCGATCCGACAAACATCCGCGCGGGCCTCCGAGGAGGTTGTGCTCCCGTCGGTGCCCCTGCTTTAGAGGCCTCCTAGATGGGGTCCGAGTAGATGGGGGTCGAAGGACAGCGCCGCATCGCCAATGCCTCGCCGATGTATCGGCGATGCATCGGCGACGTCGACGATGCATCGACGACGTCCGCGTGGGGAAATACGGGCTCCACATCGAGCCGCATCGTCGATGCATCGGCGATGCGGCGCGATCCTCCGACCCCATCTGCTCCGGCCCCATCTGGGAGGCCTAGATGCTTCGACTCCAGGACACGAGCCCCCTTCTGGGACCTCTCCCTCGGTGGTGGGCAGACTCCCCAGAACAGGGCTAGGATCGGGATAAATCGCTCCAGAGCGTTCTGGAGCGCTCTCAGAGCGTTCCGGAACGCTCTGAGAGCGGCCGCGGCGCCCAATACATCCTCCAAACCCGCCGATTCTCAGAGATTTCGAGTTATCCCGATCCGATTTTGTCCCGATCTTCGCGTCGTCCGACTCCAGGACACGAGCCCCCTTCTGGACCTCTCCTTCGGTGGAGGAGGAGGAGGAGGAGGAGGAGGAGGAGGAGGAGGAGGAGGAGGGCAGACTCCCCTCGAGCAGAAGAACCCTCGGTGAAAGCTGCCCAGGGCCGGGCACCGCGGGCGCAGGCCCACAGGAGAAGAGGCAGCCGCGACACACGCCCTCGAGGGACCGAGGAGAAGGGCAGCTCGGCCCCTCGACCTGGCAGGGCAGGGGCTCCACCTCGAAGAACAAGAAAGCACGGCATAAACATACATACTCTTGTGAGGGGGCAAACAAACCGACCTCGCTTTTGACCACCCTCGCTTCCGAGAGATCCCAAGCGATACCAAACTACGGCCTGTACTGGTTAGGCCGCTTGACGAAGAGGCTCGTGGTATGACTTGGTTTTGCCTGGAAGCGAAAGCGGGGTAGGTAATTCACGCTCTGACTTGTGGCGCTCCGCCTGGATTGCTTGGATCCGCGCTAGCCCCCCTTCCCCGGCGCGCGGAGCGCGCCAGGAGCGGCGCCGGAGGCGCCGCCAGGGGGGGGGGTCCCAGCGCGTATCCAAGAAATCCGCGCGGAGCGCCACAAGTTTATGCTTTATGGCGTTTGCTCCTCTTCGGCTACCGACATGCTGCTTTTGAGGAAGCCACAAGGTACCGATACCGCTACTGCCCGGACCTCATCCCAGGGCGCGTTCTGACCAGGATTTCGAGGCGAATCCAGCGGTGGCAACGAGGGCCCCCCAGGAGGCCCCAAAAAGGGGGAAAACCCGCGAGGGGGTAGAGAGGTAGGGGTACCTTTTCCTCCTCCGAGCTTTCCCTCGCTCTGCTCCTCCCTCGTCCACTCGGCCACGCCGCCTCCCGCCGCCGCACCTCCCGGCTCCGGCCCGCGCCCCGCGGCCGCCGTCGGCGGCGAGCACGCCCCCGGCGCACGCGGGGCCATCCTGCCCGCGGGCGCGGGCGGACGAGGCGCCTCGCCCGCACGGTGCCGCACCGCCCGCGCTCGCCCGCCTGCCGGCCGCGAGGCCGGAAAGGCCCCACACGGAGGAGAGAGAGAGACACCCTGGCAGCTCGAAGAGAGCCTCAAGACCTAAAAACCTGAACGAAACAGCCTGAAACCAAGACGTAGAATAGCTCTGGGATCGGTTTCTGAGTCGCGTGCCACTTCCTAGCCCTCCTGGAAGCTCAGGGCCGGGACGGGTGCGTTCGCCACAGTCTTCGGCCCCTCGGGGCCCCCGGCGGCGGGCCTCCACACGACTCGGGGCGAGGAGCCGATCCCGGGGAAAAGGTCGAGAGGCCGGGGGCCCTTTAAACCTCGAGAGGCTCGAGGCGCCGGCTGTCTGGGAGGAGTGGCGTCCGGTGCGCGGCGTGCCGCTCGGGGCGCGCGGCGCGGCGGCAGAGGGCTGCGCGCCTCGGATATCTGGCCCCCCGCGCTCCCCCGGAGCCGCGCACCGGAGGTCGCTCCAGCGAGGGGTCGCTCTTTTGCACACGTGTAGCCCAGGGCTGGCCCGAAACGTTGTTTTTCGTGCTGCTTTCGACTTGTCGTTCGTTTTGCTCTGCCTCTTTTCCTGCACCTCTCTGCCAAGACGAAAAACAGAACACAGCCGAAGTCCAGCAAAGCAGCGTTTAGGTCCAGCTCGGGTGCAGCCGGACCTGGTGTCGGCGCTGGCGCGCCGTCGCACGCTGGGACATCCATTCCAGCGGCCCCGTCCGCGCCGTTCTGGCACCAGCTGCCACACGGCCGCGCGTACCAGCAGCACCTGAGCGACGGTCAGAAACGGGTCTTACGCGAGACGCCACAGCGACTACGCCGCAGCTTACGCGGGCCGCCCGCGCGGCACGCCACATTTGAAGCGAGGGCGCTGACGCGCGACCTTACGCGGGCAGCTTGCGCGCCGGCGTCGGCGCAGACGACCCCGTTCGCTTTCGTCGCTCACCTGTCAAGGGCCTGTCCATCTCTACACCCCCGAAGCTTCGCGGACGTGAACTTGCACTGTTCGGCGTAGGAGATCGGGTGCACGCTAGAGCCAAACGAGATGCTCGAGAGCAAGCTCACTTTCTGACGGCGAGGATGCGCCTGCTCAGGGGGCGACGCGAGCGGTCCGTCCTGGCCAAGCAGGTCCACGGTCGGCGTCAGGGGGGCAGCCAGGGCAGCGCCCGTGTCGGGCGCCTGGGGCATCTCCTGCAGCAGCTGGTATTTCCGAGGCAAGCATTGATCCAGAACCACCAGTTGGGGGATCCAGTTTCGGAGGCCTCGACAGGCGGTGGATTTGGATCTGGATATGGATACATCTATATATATATATGTATAAAAACAACAGTATGCACACATATAGACATAAACCTATAATATATACAAGTGGCACGTGTGTGCCCAGGCTCATACAACAAGCTGAAGGGGCGTTTGAAGCAGGAGTGACATGCAACAGCGAAGTCGCACTCGAGCGCAAGTGGGGTTGCCACACCTTGCGATGTGTGTACCAGGGCCCCCCAGGAAGCCTCAGGAGGCCCGACTTGGATACCAGAAGAGGCTCCAGGAGGCCCCAGGATTGTGAGTGTTGTGTGTGTGTGATGTGTGCTTTGTGTGGTGCGTGCTTTTTGCGTGTTGTCGGTGTGTGTGTGTGTATGTTATGTTTGTCTAGCGTGTGATGTGTTGGGCGTGATTTGTGTCTCTGTGTGTGCATGTAGTTCTGAAGCCCCAGGAGGCCCCAGGAGGCCCCAGGCGGCCTCAGCAGGCCCAGGAGAACTCCAGGAGGCTCCGAGGCGGGGTCTGGGGTACCAGAAGGTCCAGAAAGCCCCAGGAGGCCCCAGGAGGTTCCAGGAGGCCCCCAGGAGGCTCCGAGGAGGGGTCTGGGGCTCGATTTTGGGAGGATGTCTCAGGCGAAACCGCCATTCTCTGAGAATCGGGGTCAAAATTATTGAAATTACCATGTGTTTTTGAAGGTTTATGTTAAAATGGTTGAATTCCTATGTGTTTTTGGACCTCTCCTTCACGATCTGCGTGAGGGGTGCCACCGATTTTCAGAATTTCGAGGATGTCCCGAGCGAAACGGCCGGGAAAATCGAAGACGCACGCACGCACGGACGCACGGACGCATTAATCCCCTCTGAGCTCTACTCCCTCGGAGAGGTGCGTATGAGAATATATATATATATATATATATATATATATATATATATATGTATGTTGAGAGATATACGTGTATTGGGCGCTCGCTGGGCCCGAATAGAATCCATACCCACCACCAGCCGACGCACCCGAAGCCGGATCCCCAGGGCGGCGGCTGTGGACAAACGCCCGCCTCGGAGTCTCGCGCGAGGCCCCGCGGCGCGGGCACCTCTTCCGCGGGTGGCGCGCTGCGGGCGCCGAGGCCGTGGATGTGCCGCTTGATCAGGGTTTCCAGGTTCGTCCTGTCGCGCGTCGTGTAGCCTGGATGTGGGTCCTCTTGTCGGGTCGGGCGAAAGGGGGGGATAGCAAAGGGTGGGTTTGAGAATCAGCTCACGTAGCTGATTTTCCCGGTGCCTCCTGGCGCCAGAGGCGCCCATGTGTCGAGGAATGGGCCTGGCGGCAGGGCCGAAACCAGCTGCATGCAGCAGATTTCGTAACCCCCCCTTTCCCAAACCCCCTTTCGCCCGACCCGATCTTGTGCAAGCGCAGGGCTGGTGGGGCTGCCAGTTTCAGCCGCGTCCTCGCACCACTCCCCCGCGGGGGTAGCCCGCAAGGGCGACGCGGGCGAAGTCGTGGACGGGTACTGGTAGCTGCCGCCGATCGGGATCTTGACCCACTGCGGGCCCATGTCGACTGGATTCGCGTTGTAGAACAAAGCTTGGGCCACTGACATCACGGTGGCCGGCGAGTGTAAGATGATTTTAGCCCGGCGCCAATGACGCGTCTGATTAATCGCGGTCGCGCCTCCTGAACCTGCGGAGCAAAGAAGGCACAGATAGGTACCCTGCCAGCGCAAGAAGGCGAGGTGCACTCGCGACGCCACTTGAGCCAGACTGGGAGAATGGAGAAGGGGCGAGGATGCGAACAAGGAGAAGGGCGATGGGGAGACACACAAGAGAAAAAGGGAGGGAGGAGATGGATGAACTCATACATGCGTTTCTCGTTGTCGTCGGTTTCAAAAGACTGTAGCAACGCCCTGGAAATTTATTTGAGAGGAATCAGAATGGGAGCGGGGTGGCAGATGAATGGGAAGTGCAGCGAGAGGGAGGAATGGAAGCACGGCGACGGGGAGCGAGAGGAGGAGGATGGATAAGGGAGGCGGGAGGAGGGAAGATGTGGATATCTAGATGTGTACATACGCATGCATGCACAGCACGCGGTCTCCACGACCAGAAGCTCGAGCAAGACGCCCGGGCCCGGGCGGCGCAACACACAACCGACTCCGCCACCAGGCGGCAGGGCGCGCGGCACAGAACGGAGGTGGGGCGGAGGCGGGGCGGCGCCTCGCAGCGCCGCTGGCGCTGCTGGGAAGGGAGGAAGGGGGGCAAACAAACCTACCTCGCTTTTGACCACCCTCGCTTCCAAGAGATACCAAGCGATGCCAAACTGCGGCCTGTACTGGTCAGGCCGCTTGACAAGGAGGCGCGTGGTATGACTTGGTTTTAACTGGAAGCGAAAGCGGGGGAGGTAATTCAAGCTCTGAAGAACTGATACCCCTACGGTGCCACCGTAGGGGTGTAAACTTTCCAGCCGCTCAGGGACAGGCGCCCCCGACAGCGAACAAGTTTATGTTATACCGTTCTTCGCTCGCTGAAAAACCGCGCTGCTGGACGAAGGCTGGGCGACCACAGAAGCTCTTTGCCGAAGCTGGGGCCGCGGAGAGGCCGCGAGAGGCCGCCGCGCGCGGCGCCGAGCCGCCCTCGCCCGCGCAAACTCGCCCCAGGAGGGGGGGGGAACTGCCCGCCGAGCTCAGGCTGCGCCGCGCCCGGAGGTGCTGCGCCGCGCACCGTGCACGTGCTCGCGTCTTGAACACACACACACACACACACACACACACACACACACACACACACACACACACACACACTAATGCGGGATGACGATTAATAAAAACAATTGGAGAGAACGATTAAAATAATAGTGTTCTGTCATTTCTGCTTAATTTTCTGACTGGAGGAAAACGATACAAAAAATAGTTTTCCAACCCGCGGCCGGTTTTTCTAATCGTCATCCCGGGCGCCGCCGCGTGAACACGACCCCCGGTAATAAATTAATCGTCATCCTCCATTACGAAACGTTTCTCGTCGTTTTCGGCCTCTGGGGGCCCTTGCCGGCCTGTCAGAAACCCACTCCCGGGACCAAGCGCCGGTCCAGGGGAGGGAGTCGGGACTTCAGGGGACCGCGCAGTGCAAAACAAATCCAAGCCTGCCGCCGCGCCGCCTGTTCTGAGCGCGCCCACGTCGACGAAGCCGACACCGTGGCAAAAACCTACGGCGAGTCCTGCGCCCCGCGCCCCAGGTGGACGAAGCCGGCGCCGTAGCAAACCCACGGCGAACGCCGAGTCCGAGGCGGCGTTTGCCCAAGTGGCCGCGGCGCCCTCCCCAAGACGCACGGCCGCGCGTCGAAACCAACGACGCGGTGGCACATCGCATGTCTGGGGAGGGTGGTCCTCGACCGCCCACCACGGGCCGCACGAGGGCGGCCTCTCGCCCAGACCTCTGGGCTCACGAGGCCGGCCACTACGCGCCGGTGGCGGGTGCGGTTCGGGCAATCTGCGCGCGCGCGAGATGACGAACAAACAGCACACACTCATACAGCGGCGCCGCCTCAGAGCTGCACGAGCAGCGCGCGCAGGTCGCGGCAGCGCTCGCGGAGCGCCGCCACCACGTCCGCGCCGCTCGCGCAGCCCTCGAGGTAGCCGAGCGCCTGTGTGGCCCTCTGGAGCTCCAGCTCCAGGCGACCCCGCTCGGCGTCCGTGGCAGCCGCGCCCGCCGCCGCAGGCGACGCGGAGGCCGCGCCCCCCGCGCCAGTAGGCGCCGCCGCCGCTCCCGCCGTCCCCGAGGCCGCGACGCCCGCGGACTCCGCGCAGCCCTCCGCCGAGCCGCCCGCTGCACCGCCAGGGTCCGCGTCGGCAGCACCAGCTGGCGTCGCCTCCCTGGGCCGCGCCGCCGCGGGCTGCCCTACGTCGGCCCACCCGTCGTCCATCGAATCGTCGTCGTTGTCGTCGTGGGACGCCGCGGCGGCGCCCTCCGCCGCGCGCTCAGGCTCGTCGGTCCCTCCCGCACTCCAGGCGCCCCCACCACATGCCGGCGCGCCGCCGCCGAACGTTGGCGACGGCGCTGCCGCCACGCCGCCGTCGCCGCACCAGCAGCGCCAGCGACGCCAGCAGGCCGTCCACGATCGTCGCGAGGCCCTGCCGCGCCGCCCGCCGCCGCGGGCGGCAGGAGGGCGTCGACGCCCTGGCGAAAGCCGCGGCGGACACCGCCGAACGCGCCACGGCCGCGACGGTGCGCCGCGGAGCGCCCGCCTTGGCCGCCGCCCGCACCGCCGCCCATTCCAGGATCGCGGCGTCGCCGACGGCGAGAGCCCCTCTAGCGAGGCGCGGGGCGTCCATGCCGATGGGGCTGACCGCGCGCCAGACTTTTAACCGCTTGAGCCATAATGCCGGCGAGGGCATTTTTTTATCTATGTAGGCGCCGCGCGAGCACGGCGGTTTCATGCAGGCATTCTAGGGCCCCGCCACCGCTCAGCGCCCGATCTCCTCCTCGAAGGCGGCGTAGAGCTCGGCGAGGTCGCGGGCGCGGGCGGCCGCGGCGCCCTGGGGGCCCTCGAGCTGCGGCCCGCCGCTCCCGCCTTCGGCCGCCAGCGGCAGCACATCGCCATCGCCGTCGATGCCCTGCTGCCGCTGCGTGGGGCCCAGGCGGACGCCGTACTCTATCGAGTGGTCGCTCGCCGCCGTGGGCTCGGGCGGGGCCTGGTTGTCCTTGGGGAGGCGCCGCAGCTCGATCCCGATGCCGTGCATCTCGGGCCGCGTCCCCGCCTCCAGACAGCAAGTCCAGATGGTCACCAACTGCGTGGCCTCAGCCGCAGGGGGACCCTCCGAGGCCTCCGCGCGCCGCGCCGCCAGCCGCCAGCCACATGCGAATCCCTCTCCGAAGGCCCGCGCCTCCAGCTCGGGGTCGCCTGGCTGCCAGCAGCCTGGCGCCAGCCAGTTCGCGCCCAGGACGTCCTCGGGCGCTGCCTGGGGCAGCTCTCTCTCGTGCAGCATCCTCTGCACCTGCTGAGCCGCATGCCCCTGCTTCTGCGCGGCCCCCGCCTTGTCCTCGTGCACCTCCTCCGTCGCCGAGGGGTTGAGGAAGGGGGGCTTCCCGAGGCGCTCCTGCTTCTGCGCCTTCCTGAGCTCGTTCGCCGCCGCCCCTGCGATGCGCCCCTTGATGGCGCCCGCTTTGGCGTGCAGCGCGACGTTCCTCCTGAGCCGCGCCAGCCAGGAGGGCTGCTCGCCGTTGACCAGCGCGTCCAGCGCAGGCACCACCGCGGCGAGCCTGTCGGCCAGCTCAGCATCGCCCGTGAAGGCCTCCAGCGTCCTCTCGGCGAGGGCCAGCCGCTCCACGAGCTCCTCCACCCGCGCTCGGGCATGCCGCACGGCGGCGTCCGCCGCCGAGCGCGCCCGCCGCGCAGCCTCGCTGCGCTCCGCGCGTGAGCGTGGGGACCTGCGGGGGTCCCCTCCCGTCACCATCTCCTCAAGCAGCTCCTGCACCCGGACCGGCCATGAGCGGAGGCAGATGGCAACCAGGGGCTTGAGACCGGCTTGAGCCAAAATGGCTACGGACCGGCGAGGGCATTGAAGAAGGAACCCGTGGATAAGGAATCCAGGGTCTGGAAGCTGGTGGAACTCCAATCGTGGACTGGCCATGTATACCACCGCCGCCCTCATCAGATAAGGAACCCTCCAGGGTCTGAAGCCTCCTGGGCATATTCCTTCACAAACGCCCCCACCGTGGGGCGGTCGGAAGAACGAGGACTGGCTATGGGTATGGGTGCGTTTTATCGGACCCGTGGGGAGGCTCCCCTTCGAGCGGCGGCCGCCATCCGACAGCACCCATACATAGCCCCCTCCGCCTCCCCTATGGGTACGTGTGTGTGTGTGTGTCTGTGTGTCTATGTGTCTGTGTGTCTGTGCGTCTGTGTGTGAGTCTGTGTGTCTGTGTGTGAGTCTGTGTGTCTGTGTGTCTGTGTGTGTCTGTGTGTCTGTGTGTCTGTGTGTGTGCCTCTGTGTGTCTGCGTGTGTCTGTGTATGTCTGTGAGTGTCTGTGTGTCTCTGTGTGTCTCTGTGTGTCTGTGTGTGTGTCTCTGTGTGCGTCTGTGTGTCTCTGTGAGTCTCTGTGTGTCTCTGCGTGTCTCTGTGTGTCTGTGTGTGTCTGTGTGTGTCTGTGTGTGTGTGTCTGTGTGTCTCTGTGCGTCTGTGTGTCTGTGTGTGTCTGTGTGTGTGTGTCTGTATGTGTCTGTGTGTCTGTGTGTGTCTGTGTGTGTCTGTGTGTCTGTGTGTGCGTGTCTGTGTGTGTGTCTGTGCGTGTCGGTGTGTGTGTGTCTGTGCGTGTCAGTATATATATATATGTCTGTGTGTGTCTGGTGTTTCTGCATGTCTCTGTGTGTGGGTGTGCATGTGTGTTCGCGTGTGCTTGTGTGCGTGTGTGTGTATGTGTGTGCGTGTGCGTGTGCGTGTGAGTGTGCGCGTGTGCGCGTGTGCGCGTGTGCGCGCGTTTGCGCATGTGCGTGTCTGCGTGTCTGCGTGTGTGCGTGTGTGCGTGTGTGAGTGCGTGTGTGTACGTGTGTGTGTGTGTGCGTGTTGTGTGCGTGTGCTCGTGCGTGCATGTGTGTGTGCGTGTGTGCGTGTGTGCGTGTGTGCGTGTGTCTTCGTGTGTGGGTGTGTGGGTGTGTGTGTGTGGGTGTGTTGGTGTGTGGGTGTGTGCGTGTGTGCATGTGTGCGTGTGTGCGTGTGTGCATGTGTGCGTGTGTGCGTGTGGGTGTGTGGGTGTGTGTGTGTGTGGGTGTGTGGGGGTGTGTCTGTGTGTGCGCGTGCGTGCGTGCGTGCGTGCGTGCATGCGTGTGTATGCTGTTCGCTCGGCACGGATGGAGGGGCAAGGCCGCGCCACATCCGCGAGATGGCATCGGTGCATCAGTGGCCCGTGCCGGTGGGAGCTGCGCGCCAAGGGCCGCTGACTGGACCGCCTCCTTCGGGCCCGCTGGGTCCACCGCACGCGGGGGGCACCGCAGTTTGTGCGGGGGGGGGGGCGCTTGAGCGCCTCGCCACGTCTCCGCGCCGCAGCCGGTCGGTGGCCCGTCGCGGCCACTGGCCCTGTGATTCGGGCAGCCCCCAGGGGGGGGAGCCACTCAGGGCGCCTCCACATCTTGTGGGCACGATTGAAGACGGAGGGGGCGCCACCCATACGTGCGGCCGTTGCACCCGGAAATGTCAGTAGACGGCTCGAAAGGGATCTGCCCTCCAGCCGTAGAACGTTTCAACATGCTGGAACCTCTGGTCGTGCAAATCGTGGAAGCCGCAAGCAATATCACGAGAGGACCCGCACTCGAACCGTTCGACTTCTGCAAACTCTAGCAGCGCATATGCCTGGCGCGATAGCGAGAATAGGTTTTGAAATCGATTCGCTCTACACCCGTGTAACCGCTGGAACCTTGCACGACGAATCGACGAATACGTGCGGCGCTACTAAAGCGAGAACCACATGCAAAAAACAACACCCGCTCTCCATGTGCAAAAACGCTGGGTAGTTGTAAGGCGAATGAGCGCGATGCAAGGCGAGAGCCACTCTCAACAAACCACCCGTCACCCCTGCGTGTAACTGTTGGAAGCTTGTAGCTTCAGGAACATAAGCGATGAGCAAGTCAGTTGTAGTAGTGACCGTACAATACAGAGGATCGGTCGTGGTAGCAGTAGTTGCAGTGCTCAAGCGGAGCGCCCGGCCAGCCCTACCGACACACCTGCTGGTGCGACTAGGAGGAGATATTTTCAAGGAGTGGGTGTCGAGCAAAAGGAGGGGGAGGAGGAGGACAGCAAGCAGCAGGGATCGAGAAGCCCACGGCCGATCCTCTGTCGAACCTCGATCGGTGCGCTCCCTCATGTTGTTTCTTCTCATGCTCCTCAGCTCCTCCCGACCCCCAGGTCTGGTTTGTTCCTTTTACTCCTCCTCCCTGCTACTTCTCCTGCTCAATTTTTCCCCAACCGTCCTGTGGTGTTGGGTCCTCGTAATGAAAAGACAGCGCCCCGCGTCTCACTTCTTCCTCCCGCTGCCCCCTGCCTCCTCCTATGCTCCCCCTCCTCCTTTCCTCCCCCACTGTGGCACACCCCTCCCGCGTTTCGTGGTCCCGTAGGGAACTCCACCAAAGGCCCAGATGCCAGCGCCCGCATGCGCCCACCGCACCCATTTTGGCGCACCCCTCACACGCTTCGTGGCCCCATAGGGAAACCCACCGAAGGCCCAGCTGCCAGCGCTCGCATGCGCCCACCGCACCAACGTTGGCGCACCCCTCAAACGCTTTGTGGCCCCATAGGGAGTTCCACCAGAGGCCCAGATTCCAGCGCTCGCATGTGACCACCACACCTTTTTTGGCGCACCCCTCACAGGCTTCGTGGCCCCATAGGGAGACCCGACGAAGGCCCACATGCCAGCGCTCGCATGCGCCCACCGCGCCCAGTTTGGGACACCCTTTTATTGCTTCTTGGCCTCATAGGGAGCCCCGCCGAAAGCCCAGATGCCAGCGCTCGCATGCGCCCACCGCACCCATTGTGTCGCACCCCTCACACGCTTCGTGGACCAACAAGGAGCCCCACCGAACGCCCAGATGCCAGCGCTCGCATGCGCCCACCGCACCCATTTTAGCGCACCCCTCACACGTTTCGTGGTCCCATGAGGACCCACCAGAGGCCCAGATTCTAGCGCTCGCATGCGCCCACCGCACCCATTTTGGCACACCCATCATACGCTTCGTGGCCCCATAGGCAGCCCCGCCAAAGGCCCCGCTGCCAGCGCTCGCATACGCCCACCGCGCCCATTTTGGCACACCCATCATACGTTTCGTGTCCCCATCGGGATTTCCACCAGAGGTCCAGATTCCAGCGCTCGCATGCCCTCACCGCGCCCATTTTGGCGCACCCCTCATACGCTTCGTGTCCCCATAGGGAGCCCTACCGAAGGCCCACATGCCAACGCTCGCATTCGCCCACCGCACCCATGTTTGCACAACCCTCACACGCTGTGTGACCTCATAGGGAGCCCCGCCGAAGGCCCAGATGCCAGCGCTCGCACGCGCCCACCGCACTCATTTTTGCATACCACTCTTACGTTTTGTAGCCCCATAGGGATCCCCACCGAAGGCCCAGCTGCCAGCGCTCGCATGCGCACACCGCGCCCATTTTGGAACACCAATCAGACGCTTCGTGGCCCCATAGGGGGTTCCACCAGAGGCCCAGATTCCAGCGCTCGCATGCGCCCGCCGCACTCATTTTGTCGCACACGTCGCAAGCTTCGTGGCCCCATAGGGAGCTCCACCACAGGCCCAGATTCCAGCGCTCGCATGCGCCCACCGCACCCATTT